ACACACTCGATATCGGAGAATCTTGGGAGTTGTTCGAGAGATGTTTGGATCATACGACATGAGCTTCCATTCCTCCATGTAATTTGCATTTTGTATCGTCAAGAAGCCCTTTCTCAGTTCATAGCGACAATTTCATAAACCAGGCTTCCAATTTGTCCCGATGGTCCTTTGGCAATCGTGGTGGGCATATCAACATGTCTTTGTTTCCTCTTTGTTTCCATGTTGAATATTTTTTTCCTGTGTTCGTGCAAATCCATTTGTGGTACTGGGCGCGAGCCAAAAGTGTGCAGGTTGAGTGACACACTGGAGTGCGCTGATGCGCTGGGTGCGCGCATCTGTCATCAGATTTTGCATCGACCCCCTTGGTTGTATGAACCATACCCATCCCAATTTTTTCAAAATGTCAACCACCGAAAGCCCTTCTTCACGTTCGATCGTCGTTCCTGGCCAGGCATTCGCACAAACAACAGACAACCAAAAGTCAATCTCAGCTACCTATCAGCCTGGTCCTGGAGTCTTCTCGCGCGATGGAAAGTTATATGCATCTACAGCGGGCTATGCAAAACGCGAAGGGGGCGTAAGTCGAGCAAGAATTTGATATACTCGCTCAAATACCGCGTTACTCACTAAGTACACTCTCCTCAGACAGTCTCGGTCGTTCGTCCTACTCGCCTTGCAAGAGTTCCAGTTGTTGGAACAATAGTAACTGGTTTAGTAACTAAATTGAATAAGCTACAGGCTTCATTGGCCATCATTACCGTAGAAGATGTACCTTTACCGGTCGGGCAAGATTTTCCTGGTGTGATTAGGGCTCAAGATGTAAGACAAGTAGATAAAGATAAGGTCAAGATTTGGACCTGCTTTCGGCCGGGTGATATAGTAAGGGCCGAGGTGGTAAGTCTGAGTTTTTCCCTCTCTTGAAGTTGCCAAGCTATACCTAATCTTGTAACTGATTATAACCGGATCGAATTTCGTATCAGATTTCATTTCCAACTGGATCCACTGGATATCTACTTGCAACCTTTCGTAATGAGCTAGGCGTTGTTTTTGCGCAGAACACCCGAACTGGGAATCTGATGAAGGCTCTGAGCTGGGAAGAGATGATTGACGAAGAGACAGGTGAAAGAGAACCGCGAAAGGTAGCTGGACCCGCATAGATATTCTTACGTATCGGCTTACCTTGTGGATCTTGGACATCGGTTCAATTTCAAAGTAAAAGTTCGGATCGATGGACCTTTCAATCATAGCAAACCATCCCTTAAATCTAGCAAAGGATATACCTTAATCGCTCGGAAGTGTGTGACCTCAAATGCACATCTCCTGGTGCAATAATGTAGGCGGATCTTTGACTACGTGTAGCAGTTAATGCCTACAGAGTCTTGCGGTGAGGTCTATTGGATACATTTCAGTGCTTGGTCTGCAATGTCACACTAAAGATACTCTCCTTCTTGACCAAGGTGATGATATTATAATGGGGGAGACTGAATTATTACTAAACACAAGACATACAACCTAACTACTATCAGACATATAACCTAACTATCATATAATTGTCCCGTGATTAACTTTAAAAATTAAAAAAACAACGTTAGGAGGGCCTCTTCCTCACTTATGATCCAATCAACTCCTGAATCGCGAAATTCCATTGTCGAGTCACTGGATCTGCTCCAACCTCCTTGACCTGAGCTGTCCTACGATCTGCTAGATCATCGCATGCTTGCCTTTGACTAGCATCCTGTAAACACCACTGAGTCTCTGGCTGCCATAAAGAAGAGCC